ATTGAAACATATCCAAGTGACATATAGCAATTATCCAAGTGCATGGAATGCTTTGAATACGTAATATGGCAACTAACGTATAATCTTAAACTGCATACTAAAAAGATTGTTTAATCAACGTAAAATGATTGCTCAATCAACTTCTCAATTGAAAGGTTTACTGGATACGCCAACAGAATGCCTAAATATAGGTTATTGGAAACTTGAAAATTAACACTGGCTCTTGGGATCTAATAATAATATATCTTCTAGTTCAGAAGTTGGACCCTGAGACACATAAAAGTTGAGAAGAGTATGCCTACCGTGACGACGTCGAAGCTTTACCTACATGGAAAGAATTAAAGAAGTTTTTAGAGTCCAAGTTCCGCACCTTAGAATTAGTGACATCAAACAATACAAAGAACGAGAGACTAAACAAATCAAAGAACGCTCACACCATTTTATTACATCAACTAAAGAAAAGAAATGCATTATGCGCAAAGAAAATCATACATTGTGTCATTGCAAGGCATTTATACAAATGGAACGGAAACAGTGAAGCGAGTATATCAAAAACAAGAATTTATGTTTCAACAGTCAAATATGTCACCGACACCATTATTCGCTGCTACATGAGATGCTGCACACAGAATCAGCGGCTTCACCAAGCAACTTATTACAACCGGTGGTTTCACCACATGTAGTAGACGAGGAAGAAACAGTTCATGTTAAAACAATTATTGCGTCTCATCTTACTGGACAGGGAATAGCATTGTTGGCGACTGCTATAGTAGAAGCAAAAGACGGTCATGGCCGCATTATTAAATTACGCGCGCTGGTCGACCAAGGTTCCCACTCAACATTTATAAGCGAGAAAGCAACTCAATTATTGAAACTGAAACGACAACAAGTCCAAGGCAGCGTTATAGGAGCGGGATCTACGAGAAAGAATTTAAGTATGTGGTGCAGCTTAATATAGGATCACAGTGGGACCAAAAATACAGCTTACCAATACAGGCCTACGTGATGTCGAAACCACTGACCACAAGGTTACCCACCAAAACAATTACTGTTATATAACCCTGGCTTCACCTTAACGGGCCCAACCTCGCTGATCAGAGTTACCTAACACCTGGTTCTATAGGTATCTTCTTCTCTGTGTCAAAGAATACGCACAGATTGTTCAACCAAAGATGATAAGGGGTCCACCAGGCACTCCAACTGCACAAAAAATAGCACTTGATTGGTTGATTTTTGGAGATATCTTTTCAGAGATATCTCCAAAAATTAACCCACGAGAAGATACTTACGTCGTTATGTATCACCAGGTAGATGTAGATGATTTGCTGAAGTCGATATGGGAAGTAGAAGTTGACAATAACAGACACTTAACAAAAGAAGAAAGACTCTGTGAAGATATCTACAACCGAACAACAACTAGAAATGAAGATGACAAATACATAGTTAAATTACCTTTCAAAACAGACAGTCCAGGAACACCTGAAGGAAACATAAAAGAGATGACTATCCAAAGATTTCTGCAACTGGAGCGGAAGTTCAATAAGTCGTCTGACCCGAAAAAAGAATACACAAAGGTTATAAATGATTACATGGAGCAAGGACATATGGAGAAAATACCTGAAATGAAAAAGAAACGAAAAGATCAGTATACCTACCTCACCACGCTGTTGTTCGTAACGACAAAGAGACATCTCAAACACGCGTCGTCTTCGATGCTTCCTGTAAGGGCAGGAACAATATTTCGTTAAATGAAGAATTACTGGTAGGGCCACAGCTGCAAGAAGATTTGAGAAGCCTGCTAATGAAATGGCGGATGAAACGAGTATGCTTCATGGCTGATATCAAACAAATGTATCGTCAAATACTAGTGACTAGAGATGACGCAGACTTCCAGCGAATTATCTGGAGAACACTTAGTCCCACTACAAGACCGCAAATATTGCATCCCGAGGAATGTTGCCATTAGAATTGAAGAAATTTTACTTATGGTGGTCCAAGTTGGTTATCTGAAAAGGAAATAAAGCTTATTAAACCAAATATAGTGACAACAGAAACAGAAATGAAAACAACAAAAATAAATACTTACCATAACACAGAAGAACAAGACAAAACTATAACCAGAAAATTGGAGATGTTTAATAATTTACCGGAGCTACCAGAAACTCTTACTTATTGCAAACGATTTCTGAACCAAAAGAAATTGAACATTGATAAAGAAATAACTACACAAGAATTGGAAGATTCATTACAAATTATAATTAAAAGAGTACAAGAAGAATTCAAAAAAGAAATAGACAGGATTGAAATCAAATAAACAAGTAAAAAAGAATAGTCCGTTGCGATCCCTTAACCCTTATCTAGATGAGAAAGAAATCCTCAGGGTGGGTGGTCGCCTTAGGCATACAAACTTACCTGATGAGAGAAGAAATCCTATCATTCTGGGAAATAAAAATACACTAGTACCTTTTATCATTGCTGACGCTCTTAACAAGACACTCCACGGAGGTATTCAACTGATGCTACTACTGATCTACGCTCTAAGTTCTGGGTCTTGAAAGCAAAATCTATGACTAAGAAACATATTCATAAATGTCTCATTTGTACCAGAATTAATGCTTCTACTAGAGCTCAGATTATGGGAGATTTGCCCAAAGTAAGAGTGACCCCATCAAGACCGTTTATAAATAGCGGTGTGGATTTCGTGGGTCCATTTAAAATTTTGATGTCCAAACACCGAGGAAATAAGACTTATAAGGCGTACATCTCTATATTTGTCTGTATGTCAACAAAGGCGGTCCACTTAGAGCTCTTTAGTGATCTGACTTCGGAAGCTTTAATTGGTGCATTTGGACGTTTCGTTGCGAGAAGAGGTAAATGCAATCACCTGTGGAGCGATCAGGGCCGAAATTTTGTGGGCGCTAATAAAGAACTTCAAGCTGCCTGGAACGAAGCAAATTTATAGTTCACTGGCGAAATAGCAGAGGAGTCACAGATGGTAGGTACTCAATGGCATTTTATTCCTACCTACAGTCCCTTTTTCAGTGGATTATGGGAGGCAGGTGTCAAATCTATAAAATACCACCTGAAAAGAATCCTGACAAGTTACCTTACATTTGAAGAAATGTCAACTGTACTTTGCCAGATTGAATCCTGTTTGAATTCACGTCTATTATGTCCTCTCGGTGATACAGATCCAGACAATATGAACCCACTAACACCAGGATATTTTTTAATGGGAGAGGCACCGGTTGTTGTCCAATCAGCCAATTTAAAGGACATCAGAGTTTCTACCTTGTCTCGCTGGCAACACATACAAAATCTTACTAATGATTTATGGCGGCGTTGGCAAGACGAATATTTGTCGAGATTACAACAACGCCCTAAGTGGCTCCAAAAAGAAAAGGAATTCATGATTGGAGATATTGTTCTGATTAAAACCGATAATTTACTACCCGGTAAATGGAGTTTAGGACGAATTGTTAACAAACACCCCGGTCCGAACGGTCTAACGAGGGTTTATAGAGTGAAAAGTGGTAGTTCAGTGACTAAAAGAACAGTTACGAAATTATGTCCATTACTAATTGATTCCAATGTTTGAATTTAATTTATTTTGTTATGTTTGTGATGCAACATAACTTGTAAATTTATATTTAATGCGTGAACAAGTTGTATTTTGTCATCCACATTATTAGTAACTTTGAATAAGTAGCTATTTAATTTAGTATTACTTGTAAAAGTACCTACTGTCCTTTTGGTGGGCGGTAAATTGTGATTACTTTCACTATAATTTATTGTTACGTATATATTAGGCTCATCTTCCTGTATCAACCAGTTATTCAATACACTTGCAACGACACATACGTCTTTTCTTTAATTTATAGCCAAATCAAAAAGTAAATCTTAATACAATCAACACACTGTCAGTTGGCAGTTTGTACCTACATATACCTATGTATAAGCTTGACACTTAAGATTTAATCTTAACTCTATACAGCTTAAGATAAAAAAGGCCCAATATCAAATCTATCTTAATTATGCTCTTGACTGTACGTATAACCTTAAAGGTAGATGTTCTCATGTAATAACAAAACAATCGCTTTATCTAAAAATTGTCTTGATTAAATTGACTGCAAGAAATAGACCAAATTTACTTCCACTCAATGATTATATTTTCCTTCTACTATAATAATAATAAATAAATAATTTATTTGGCATCCAAGGCCTACTTGTTAGTCAATACAGATTTTTTAAACTTATGACTATTGTTAGCAAAGAATACAAAACATAAAAACACACATTATTTCGCTCGAGGCGCCGCCGACTACCCCATCACCTCACCAGAACCTGGATGAAATGATGAAGCATTTCATTCAAACGTTTTCAGGATGCTGTTAGGACTAGAACGCAGTCTAGAAAGTAGTGACGCCGTCTTTTTTCGCATCACAGCAAAAAAATCATCTACTCCCGCTTGAGCAAATATCGACGATGTGCTACAATGTCACGGTAGTCACAACAGCATCCTGAAACCGTAATTATATTAAACGCGCAGGGCGCCGAGTGCCTTCTGCGTATAGTTAACCCACAGACCACCCATGTAGAAGGATTGACAATACGCCTTGAATTAAGTTATTTTGGCTACCTCACTACAGCGGGCGAATCAATGTGCCAACATATTATTACATCTGGCAGCCAACGCCCTACGTTCCCGGTCAATATAAGTATATTATATTCAGACACTTTAATTGTACAATTTACTCATAAGAAAGCAACAAGCGTTTTACTCAATAATATTGTTGCTAACTTGCTACAAGCCTCGCTTGCTCTAAATTAAATATAGATTACTAGGGTACCTATCGTCGATGTTACCTAAGTACCTAATTTAATGAAATCGTACGTTTTGACTAAATAAATGAGAAGTGAATTAATAAAAAATAAAGTATGAGATGTTGGGCTTAAAACAGAAGCAAATAGAGGAAAAAGTTCATAATTGTTTCCAACAGGTCTTCAGCGCTACCCTAAACTGCTTTCCGAGCTTGACCGCGAATTCCGACGCGTGGTTCCGCCGCAGCTACTGAACGACGACGAGGAGCGCACACGCAAGATTACTGAACATATCCGCGCCTTCTACTTCCAACAACGCCCTGTTGACATGAGAAATATTGACAGCCTTATCGATGTAAGATATCTATGTATAGTGAACTGAAAACTTTTTTTAATTCAGACGTAGGTGGGTAATTTTCAGGTTAATTTTCACTACCCAATTTTTGTTATTTTAGTATTCGAGTATATTGCATATAATTCATGAACAAAATGTATAAGTCAGAATCAAAACACATGAAGCACCGTTTTAAAACTTATAAAAGTATTTTTTAAGTTATTAAATTTCAAATTCTTTTTCCAGTTATTCACCGACGTGATGTTTCTGCGACCGATTCTGGAAACCCTACGAATACAAGCCACTACGAACCGAACCAGTCCAACTTACCTTTACCGGTTTGCATTTGACGGGGCCCTAGGCCTCTTCAAGAGGATGTTGGGTATTACACACCCTGGGGCATGTCATGGGGACGAGATGGGGTACCTCTTCTATTTCTCCAGGCTGAATTATAGGCTGGATGATGATTCCACGGAGTTGGCTGTTTCACGACGCATGGTTGAGATGTGGACAAACTTCGCTAAAACTGGGTATGTACTTGTTATGCTGTTAATTAAAACAGGCTATCTTGTAAGTATTTGTTTCACCTTATTAAAATATGAAACACATTGTTGCAGAAGTGAGTTTTAAATAGATTACTATATTAAGTTATTTAAAGTGCTATTGTAACAATAGAACTCCTTGGAAAGAGTTCGCCCAGGGCGGTACTCCATCCATACCTATTTCTGCCGCCAAGCAGTAATGTGAGCATTACTGTGTTTCAGTTTTAAAGGGCACTGGTGAAATTAAAAGCACATGAGACGTAGGTATGTCACACCTCGGACACTGCATACAACAGTCGAAAATTATTTACCTACTACTACTACATACAGCAAGGCGCTATCTGCACACGCGCAAATGTGTGCGTGAAGTGGCAGGGTCACCCATCACTTTCTCGCACTATTACGTTACGTGGTCAGAGCGGCAACATAGCGAATATTCTAACGCCAATGTTATCTATGATTCTATTACTAGAATCCTAATAATTATACATGTCTATTAGGTATTTATATCGCAATATTATTATATTTTTCTTTAATTCACTAACTAGAGTAATATTGAAAATTTATTTCAAAAATATATTAAAAGCACCTAAAATATTATACTTCGGACATGTACTTTTAATTAAGGTAACCAAGGTATTTGAAATTGCGTGTCCAAGTTTAGATAATAATTAGATATATTCACTACCTACGTAATATTTATCGGCAATACGAATAGAAAATTCGCGAACCCTTGTCTACTAGCTCACGAAGTCATGGCGTCTCATTATATTAATGTACTAAATCTGTATTTTTTTATACATACATATATTACTCTGCAGTAAATAAATGGAGAAAACAATAACTGAATGAGTCTCAGACATAAGTTTTTTTTTACTTACTTCGTTTCATCTTTCGGAAAATCATGATAAACAGCCATATACAGCACAATTCACGACCATTATAAATAGTAACGAAAAATGATGTTTTATATTAACGTGCAAGTTTCGTAATGAATAAATGAAAACTATATTCAAATATCAAAGCCACCTACGCGCGAAAACGGCTCGCCGCGCCGGCAGCCTTGTTGTCGTTCAGTCAATGTGACCGGCAATGTGTGGGGCGTGATACGGTATCTAAAACTAGCGAGGAGCGGAGGGTGTCCGTTCTCTTATTCTCTATTCTCTGGGCTCGGGGTGACGGGCGCCGCCGTGGCATTGCTCCTCAGATCTTTCCAACTTTACTGCTCTAAGTGGCACTGCAACTGCCATGGACAGGTGTCACGCTTACCACCAGGCGCACGACTAGTTCGTCCTATTATTTGTTATATTAAAAAAATCCATTATTCAACATTTCCCAAAGTTGGCATTTACTAATGAGTTGGCGAAAACACGGTTAACTCATCGCAGTCGCTTGCGGAATATTTGAATTAAATGGTTACGTAAACATCACCCGATATGGCACTATCCATGTATACCCATTTGTACATCCCCTCAAGTACCAATTTTAACAAGCCCTTGTTAAAATTGATGATGGTCTTAATTTGTGTGCTCTTGTCAATTTGCATTTTATTAACATTATGTCCACAATTTTAGAAAACAAGAAATATTATAAAGATTGATGAATATTTTGTGGATCATTTTGTACCTTTGGTATATTAAAGCCGAACGTAATCATACCTCGAAAGTGATAAAATTTTAAATATTCCATGAAAGTCATAATTTCAAACATGAAACAAATCATGTATATGTGAAATTTTATAACTCTTATTTAAACATAAAAAGTTGTATTCGTCCTTCGCAGAATCTTTAAATATTTTTCTGAAAAGTTATCGTTTTGAAGTTGTGGCCTTATTACAGCAAAGGTGTGATTTGCTGCATTTTAGACTTATTGGACAATCGACAAATCTGTCGGGTTTTTTAACCTTTGGCCGTAATACTCAACTAATTTATCTACTCTACTTTCCCACAACTATTTAAGCCGTGTAAACACCATATTGTTCATATTGATTGTAAAAGTTTCGTGGTTAGCGACAAAACTATTATTACTAGTTACGGGTTTACGGTCTGACCTTTACTCTCCTGTGCCTCTGCAATGAAATTATAGAGAGAGTTGTCGCTAACGACTTTGTATTTGTTTGTCATTTGTTTGTTATTTGTTTGTCGCTAATGTTTGACAATGCCAACAGCGCCCCTAGCGGTCACTAGAAGAAGCGGCACTTTGAATACAATACTTATTTGTTATGCAAGGCTGCAAAGTTGTTGTTTGACGCAAGTGCTTGCATTGAAACCTGAGCAAGCGAAGGAGCATAAGATTGAACCACGAGCGAAGCGAGCGATTCAAAAATGGAGTTCTGAGCGTAGCGAGGCTTTCAAGCCACAAGACGCAAAACAACTTTGCTGCCGAGTGAAACTACTTTTCACCTCATTATAGCGAGGAAAGTGGTAGATGAAAGAAAAATAGTTGAACTATAACAAACCAGGTTTATTAAACAACATTAGTTGTCATTGTCACTTTAATGTCAACTGTAATAAGAATAAAATATACCAACGAATTTATTATATAAATAATGTACGACAAATCGCGTAGTTGAACGTGTTATTGTTTTTTTTTTCATCGAAAGAAAAAGTTAGGTGCACTACAGTCCAACGTCAAGTTCGAATTTCAAAAACTTTTTGCACGCAGATTTCTAAAAGATTTCATTCTTTCTTAGCCTTTCCGTGCTCGTGAAGAGAAAATATTATTATTTCGCTAACAACAAGTGTTACTGTGAACTCATGGTAGAAGCACTGATATTCCCGAGTGATTACGCTCCAGACACGGGTTGATTAGCAAGCGGCAGAAGACAGTTTTAAGGACACATACATATATCTGTCTACTTAGAATAATTCTGTCTACACACATTTGTCGTTAACGCCTATCCTCGTCTCGGTTTCTTGGAACATTACCATTGTACATAATTTTCTATAAATCTGATGCACTCAGCTCACTGTTTCTACAAGGGAATTGAAGTCGAACCATTATTGCTATTGTAAATGCTAACACCCGGTACACCGCACTGAGCAGTCACTCAGACACTAAGGGTCGTATTCTAAAATTCTAATCAATGCTCAAGTCAGGATTTGAGTATGGTTTAAAGCACTCGAAATCATACTCAAGTCCCTGCCATTAGGGTCGTATTTCCAGTGCTTGTGTTTCAATTGCAATCCTGACTTGAGCATTGAGTAGACTTCTAGAATATGACCCTCAGGGTCGTATCCAGTTCCAGTGCTTGTGTTTCCACCACTAGAGTCGTATTCCAGAACTCTACTCAATGCTCAAGTCAAGATCTGAGTATGATTTCAAACACTGGAAATACGACCGTAATGGCAGGAACTTGAGTACGATTTCGAGTGCTTTAAACCATACTCAAATCCTGACTTCAGCATTGAGTAGAGTTCTAGAATACGACCCCTAGAGTTAGTTAGTTATCGGTAAAAAGTGAATGATAGTCGCATTAAGAACGAGTTCAGATAACATTCACAAATATCCATAGGCCTTTAAATTATATGTGAACCAGCCCTAACGCTTGTCACTTGTCACTAATTCAAGATGAGGGTAATCTTCGACATAGAAAAGACAACAAGTCACAGATGTGTCTGTGGCGTAGTCACAATGATACTTGTATATATACAGTTTTTTTTTACGAACTGCCACGTCAACCCATAACCATGGAGAGTGTAACCGCTTTGAAATACCAGAAGCTTGTGGCTATTAATAATCGTTTACTAATTTTTAACCGACTTCAAAAAAGGGGGAGGTTCTCAAAATTCGAGTCTATTTTTCGTATACATATGTTATGCAATAACTCCAGCATTTGTAAACCGATTTTGATGATTCTTTTTGTTGAAAAGAGGGTACCTCAGTAATATTGGTCCCATTTAAATTTCAAGAAAAGATTCCACCTCCAAGAGTGGCAAACTAGGGAATGAATAAGGTTTCACGCACTTTCCGGTTACTGATTTCAATAAGACTTGGCAAATAGATGTAATTCCACGAAATGTTGAGATCGGTTTAAAAAAAGTTATAATTATTTTCAATTATATTTTTTTATATAAAAAAATATTACAAATAAATACTAAATGTTATATAGTTACGCAACTGTTATTATTACAAACTACGTAGCTATTAATTTTTCAATTTGACTTTTGCCAGTATTATTGGTATCGTAATCTATAGTCATGATGAGGAATAGGATGTTTTAACGACCTTTTATTGCCCATCTTTTTAGAACAAGAACAAAATTTTTCCGTTATTCTGTTTACGATATTATTTCCTGTCTACATGCCTACCTACGATCCACCGCTTATCTGAGTCGATTCCTGAAGTATATCCAGGTAGCTGCGGAAGAAGGTTTACGTAACAGTTACGCTGCATACTCTCAACAAGATTTTTCTGACGATATTCAATAATAAGTTGATTTAATAAAAAACTGGCCTCAAAAGTCATTCATCCCCTAATTTGCCACCCTTAGAGGTGGAATATTCTCTTATAATTTAAATAGGACTACTATTGAGGTATCCTCTTTCCAACAAAAAAAGAATCATGAAAATCGGTTCGCAAATGAGTTATCGCGTTACAAACATTATAAACTTATACATTTATTTCTTTCGTGAGTTTGGGTGTCATTTCTGGATATCTGTGTATGTCCATGGCACTCGCGATACAGGGTTTCCCTAGTGCGGGTCTATGTTGAGTGTGTACGTTATTATTACTATTAAAACATACAGTCGAATTGAGAACCTCCTGCTTTTTTTAAGCCGGTTAAAAAATGCGTACCAAATTTGTCAATTGTTGTTGTTGTGAAACAAAATAAAAAAAAATTCATTGATAATTGAAATTAATAGACAAGCCATTTGGCACTTTTTTCACGTGAACTGTCGCTCCCTGCCGCACCGGGCAGCTATCTCAGGAACCGACTTAGTTAAGCGTTTAGGTAGGCGTAGGCCTGTAGTATGTTACCTTTATTTCAATTTATTTAGCTAATCAATTTACAGCATAGGCTAATCAACAACTTTGAAAGCAAGTTCAACGTTACTTACCGATTCGTATTTATATACCTATTAAAAAGGACAAACGATTTGGTAATTTCAAATACATATTACTTGTAAGTTTAAACATGTACAAAATTCAACAGCCGTTAACGAAATATCCTAATTTACCACTTTCTTTTTATTAAAAATTTATTCATAGATAGGATTCGCTAAATAATAGTGTTATTGTATTACGATTATTCTTCTCCAAGTTCTGAAAATAATCGCTTATAGCATTATATCTCTCGAAATATATAATGTATGTTCCGATGATTTCAGGAACCCGACACCTCCCGCAGAAGGCAAATCAGCCTTAGACCTGGAGTGGCTACCAGTAAACGATACTGCACACCCTCTGTACCTCGATATTACTGGCGCATTTTCTATGAAGACAGATCCTGAAGCGATCAGGGTCCGACTCTGGGACTGGCTCTACGACAACTATGCTACCAACAAATCATAATCTCATAAGTTTCGATAGTGCCTTGTAGCAGTGAAAAATGCTATAATTTTAATATATAAAGGCAGAGACAGTGCTTCAATAAGTTGGTATTCTGTATAAACAAAAATGTACCTGGAATTCTAACTAGAGTATAAAAGTGAAGTGCCTTTAAATAGAATGACTTGATCTCAAAGATTGACTCTCCCGGAGGAATCCAGTGAGCGTGAAACAAATGTCTGTTATTATTTGGCTTAATCCATTTCTTACTTATAGAAGAGGACTACGAAGCCACATTCTTTGTATACCATGTTACCTACAATGATAATAAGTTTAGTTTATATTAGTTTGTAAGTTGTTATTTTAAAGTATAAGACGGTAGTAAATGATGGGATTTTTTGGAAACTTGGTTCTGCTTGTATTATACAATTTGTTTGTGACATACAGACTACTAATTGTTAAATTTTAGAATGGTCGTGATCAATGTTAAGTCTAAGTTAAACTAATTGAAGCTATTAGCGTAAAAGTGGTGTAACCCACATTTTTTTCTATAATAGTAGTTAAAATGTTACAAGTACATAATTATTTTATATTAGTATGCTATTTTCGTAATTTAAAAAATTATAATTAAATGCTTTTCGTAGAATAAAGTAATATCTAAATATAAAATAATTATGTACTTTTTATGGTTTAAATGTGTAGAAAAGAAATTAATGTGGGTTACTACTTTTGCGCTGATTGTCTCAATGATCACCTTTGAAAGTGCTCATAAATATCTGAACGTTTGATTCAATCTCAATTCTGAAATGTATTTTGATCTAAATGAAAGTCTTTTGAATACAATTGGAGTGTACAGTGTGTGTAAATTAATCACGAGATTGTTAATTTATTATCAAAATTTCTGATATTTTTGAACACTCCCAATTTTTAAATCTTTGTCAAAATTCTACCCCATAAATAATGATACTTATTCTGCTCCAGTTTACGTTATTCCCATATACAAAATATAATAATAATATGCAGATATTATTGAATCTATTTAAAAATATTATTAAACAATTTTTATTACGTTGTTTTATCTTAACTGCCTATTCCAGTAAGCAACAACATGTTTAAATTACCAAAGAGTCTAGTTTGATTGACTTTTGTTAACTACCGAGATTATTATCACTTCATAAAGGGTACGTGGTTGGATTCCACTCTTAATCAATCCATTAGCTTTGATTACAACTAGGTACTCGTGAATATCGTATAGTGTTGCATCAAAGGAATTGGGACCAAAATAAAATAAAATTCTATGTTCATAAAAGTTACATTTCGGATTATTTTTAACGATGTTTGAGTTGTAAAAAATTGGAAACTAGAACTACAAAACTTTGAATTTTTTTTTATAACACACACACTCAACATATCCCCGCACTAGGGAAACCCTGTGTTGCGGGTGCCATGGACACATAGACAACCACAAATTACACCTATACTCACGAGAGAAACAAATATAAGCCATACAAATGTTTCTCCCGACCCGGGAATCAAACCCGGGACCTCTGCGTGGCAGTCCGGCATGGTAATCGCTTGGCCACAGAGGCAGTTAATTATATATAGTTTATTTAACGATATTTAGCGATATTTCTATTAATAATTATAGTTATTCATAGAAATATCTCGAACACAAAGAAAAATTCCTTCGGACCGACAGGACTATATTTGTGGTATCGTCGCTTGTTTCCGATTTCCATAACACAATTGCTTTAGTTTTGGATCGGAGCTTTTGGGATCGCAACTTTGGGATCGGAGCAACGTATATGATGTTGTTTAATATTTATTAATTTATTTGCATGCATTTTTTTATCAAACGTATATTATGATCACGCAGTACCGTAGCGTCGATCTACCAACTGAGCTACAGGTGTATCGGGTTTATTTCGGCTTTTAGCGCCGTAAACGACATCTTGAGAGATTTGTGAAACTTCTCACTCGGCTACCTAGCTTTAATAAATACAAAGTGCATAAAACAAAATCCGATTGGGTAGGCCAACTTTGGAAAAAAATAATAGCAGGCAGCTATCCTAAATTTATTACTATTTTTATTTATTTATTGAGCACTAACTACAAAGGCGTTCAGCTTAAACAGTACTACAGCTGTAGAGCTCCTTGTGAAAGAGTTCGTCCAGGGTATACTGCCACCTTACCTAGTTCTACCGCCAAGCAGTAATGTCAGCATTACTGTGTTCCGGTTTTAAAGGGTAAGGGTGCTGGTGAAATTACAGTCACATGGGACTTGTCAACTTATGTCTCAGGGTGACGGGCGCAGCGGCAATGCCCTTTTAAGGTGTGTCCAAACACGGCGTGCAAGGTGCGCGGCAGCTACGCGCGGCATTCGCGGGACACAAGTTTGCCGGCAGGTAGCTCGCGGCTGCCGCGCGCGGCAGTCGTCCAATCATAGCGCGGCAAGACGCGCACGGCAGCCGCGCTCGAATGCCGCTTTATGTTTGGACACACCTTTTAAATCTTTACGATTTCAATCTCTGAGTGGCACTGTAACTGTTACGGACAGGTGTGCAGCTTACCATGAGGCACACGACTTGTTCGTCCCGTCACTAGATATTACAAAAAAAGGTAAAAATAATTAAGAAACTCAAAACATAATAAAACTTAAATTAAAAATTAATTTGTTCAAAAACTATAATTTCTCTTGCGATTCTTCCCAGTGCTACACAGCAAATTATTATTTTTTTCGGTATCAAGCAGTCAGTGTCTCTACTGCCTATATTTTCTTACTGTAAAGTCTAAAATAATATAAACATTTAGGCTCAACTCACACTGGCGCAGAGTCGAAGCGTCGCTTCGCGTCCTGTTTTTCAACTACAACGCCTGGCGACGCGCGTCGACGCGCGACGACTCTCGCGTTAGTGTGTCCGTATCACAGTGTGGTCGGCGTCTGACGCCTGCGCCCAAGTAAAGTGCGGCGACGCGTGTCGACGCGCGTCTCCATATTTGCATAACACAAATTTGTACCTTAGTAATGGGAAAAAAGAGATGAATATACAATAGGCGAAAAACATGACAGGTCGCGAAGCTTCGACTCTGCGCCAGTGTGAGTTGAGCCTTACAGTCAACACCTTACGCTGAGCTCAGGAGAAGCTATGCATAATTTTTTTTCTTTTTTTGCTTTTTTTGTAACACACACTCATAGCCCGCACTACGGAAACCCTGTATCGTGGGTGTCATGGACACACATAGGTAGACAACCACAAATTACACCCAAACTCACGAGATAAATAAATGTAGTCCATACAAATATTTCTACCGGCCCGGGAATCAAACCCAGGACCTCTGAGTCTGAGGCAGTCTAGCATGGTCACCGTTCGGCCACAGAGGCAGTAAACGGAAGTACCTATAATATGCTCGATTTTTAACGATTTAATCAAGGTTAAAATCGAACAAATTTGTATTTGCATACGACTTATTTCAATTCAGTGTCGATCGTCAAAAAATGTTTGTTGCTTACACGTTTAGTCGATTAAGTCTGATCACACGTGACGATGACGATCGTCAAAAGTTCTAAAAATCGCATCTACTCTGCTTTGAACGAAAGCTGCGGATAGTATAATTGTATGACTATGCTTCACCCATCACTTAAACGGGATCGCTTTGCTTGTAAAAAAATGTAATAGTAGTTAAAAAACTAGAATAAAATACTGTTGCAGGGGCTAACTTCCTATTGCACTGCGCTGAAGCTTCTGCGAATGTTCAACAAAAAGAACGCTTAATTTGTTTACCGCCTGAAGTAAAGTGTCCTACGGTTTATTTGGTTTATTATTCATCTATTATATCACTCGAGTAAGTACTAAATTTACGACCAATTCAATTTCTTTATTTTGCCTGCATCTTTACTGTCACAAATATTTTAATATACATTTGTTTTACTACCTAATGAGTGAAGTTAGTGATATATCATAATGCCCGAAAATATTAAATCACTAATGTTAAAAAACTGTAAAAAATAATGATTTCTTTTGGCTCCAATGCTAAAAGGGCATAATGAATAGTAATTAAATAAGCGACAAGCGCGTGTTTGACACACTGCCTATAACTCGATTGGCAGGTTACTTAGCTGAAATTTATAAAACGAACTTTGCTATCGACTTGAGCAAAGAAAACGAATTACTAAGTAAACACTAAGTTTAATTTAATTTCTTGTTTAAAAGTTAGTCTTGTAAATACGAAAAACTTGCTTAATAATAATAATTTATTTCGGACTCTGAATCCATAGTGTTACTCGTAGTAACAAAATAATTTAAAAATTAGTGTTAGTAACAAACAAATGCTTAGCTTGTCATCTTTATTTAGCCGAACGTCAAAGTTCGTTTTATGTTGCATATCATTCATCATTTCGAGAGCACGTTCAATGTAACCACAACTCGAGGTAATAATGACTTACAGAGCCAAAGTGATGGAATGTCGATACGGAATGTAACTTCAACAAATTCGACGACTTCGATATCCCGAGTACCCTATAATTACAAATCTAAGAAATGCACAACGCAAGGTTTTGGGTAAATTTCGTCAACAATATTTTCCACATCAAGGATCTCCCACATAAGTAAAAAAATATAAAACTTTTTAGAACAAGAAGACTGAACCGTTCTGAATCGTTCTTACAAGAATAAATAGGTCCTGGTTAAAATTAATACGCACCTGTCCGAGCTGATACAAAATCAGGACTTCGATTTGTAGAAATGGTAAAGGTAATCGTCATCATTATACGTTATAACAAAGTTTCATTATTGTTCTTTATCATTTTGACAACTAAGCAAGATATATCAAGGGAAAATAATGAACTTCCATTGTTTGTTTTACGACTTTTTGATTGACAAATGAATTTGATTTATGTTGTTACATTTGAGAATCTGAAACTGAAATACTTGGGTTACTGTATAAAAGGGCATGATTGTTTACTGAAAAATAGTACCCTAAAAGAAGCCGTGAGTGTTGGTCAGCTTCACCATAAACGGGTATCAAATAGCACGGTTTTTTATACTGAAGTTTTTAATACAACTCATACAAACTTCATTAGGAAACTAACAAAATGTCTAAGCCCGAAGTAAATCCGGTAAATGATGCTGAAAACATGGAGGACAACCTACAGGATGTAATAACTTGTGACCCTCCCGCATATCTTAAGTGAGTATTTTTTCATCACACATGCATTGTGACGACATCCGTGGTCAAATGACTAAAACACAGGTTTTCATTATGTCGCCAACTCTAATCCCCGGCTGGGTCAATACAGAAATACATTTCTATGTTGTTTCGGGTCTGGATGTTTGTGGTACCGTCGTCGTTTCCGAACGCAAGTGCTTTAAGTTTTGGATCGGAGCTTTTACGATCGCAACTTTGGGATTAGAGCAACGTATGTGATGTTGTCTAATATTTATTCATTAATTTACATGCATTTTTTATGATACGTATCCTTATAACGTAAATTATCACATTTATGTGTTCTTTGACATTACTAACTTAAAATAAGTGTAATTAAGTGTAAGCTTTGATGTAGTTAATAACACAAAATCAAAACATCGCACATGAAACACTGTCCTAACTCAAAATTTACGAAATTGAGAAAACGGGATTTAAAAATTATAAAAAAATACTGAAATATGAATGAATCAAATTGCGAGAAATAGGATTATTTTTATTGGATAACTAATTATTATGTAGTCCATCTAGTTCCATTTAGTAACTTTTTGAACTTTTAAATCGTGTTTCCTCAATTTCATAAATTTTTAGTTACGACAGTATTTGGTTTCAAGTGCGACATGGTAACAGACGGTGGTTCGAGGCCAGTCAGATAGAGGGAATACTGTGTGTTAAAATTCTCCTAACTTCCTTTGACTACTCTACAGTAATGGGTGATTTCCGTACTTGCCTCTTGAAAAGCGATATCTCATAAACACTAATCTTCAAATTTTGTCCCTATCTTCAACTCATCACTTTCCAAATGGTTTGCTCTCTCTTTAAGACTTAGGCCTTATTCAAAGTGACGGCTTGCGCGAGTGCGCGCGCGGGTGCATGTAAATCAAATGTACTTAGACGCTCGCTGCGTTCACAGTGCTTGGTCTAACCTTTCGCGCCTCTCGCTAAACCCCCGCTCGTAGCCGCTTCGGCACTGTGGCAGGGAAGACGCAAGACCCGCGCACCCTCACCCGCCGCCGCGCTCGCGCCTGCACTCTGAATTAGCCCTTATAGTTTTATCTTTGAACACACTGTACATACTTATATAAGTTGAGAATATCGCTCGATTTCCATGGGAACCTCGTCAGATTCTGACTTGGTGACAATGGCACCACCTGGAAAGTAGGATATACTTTCAAACAAAAAAAAATCTAAATCGGTGTACGATTGACGGAAAAATTGGTGAACATACATAAAAAATACATACAATCGAACATAGAACCTCCTCCTTTTTTTGAAGTCGGTTAAAAACTGTGGTTCGCTTTTGATTAAAATTTAAATTAGTCCAAAAACAATATTCAATATTCAATTGCAATTCAAAACTTTGGGATGACTTCATTTTAACTAGCTAGCAACAAATATAACAGAAACTTTTAATCACGTACCTACTGAATAACTATTTTGTGTTATTAACGACATCTAAATTAAAAACTCAAAAACTAGACAAAGATGTAAATGGCGATATGTGAAAGACTCTGTTTGGGACTCAGCACTCGTGGGTAGTCTCTAGAAACCTTGAACGGCTGGCTATTCATAGATGAACGAATAATAAATGGTTATGATGCTACCTTTTTAGTTAGTTACTTGTCAGAAAGACACAATGATATTATATTGAAAGACATACTATCTAATTTCTATTATTTCATAACATTTGCAATGTAGCTTTTATTTTGTTGATTAGACTTTATATTAACAAGATTTGTCTCATTTCAATTTAATCAACAAAATAAGTATTAATCTTTTCATGGAAGTAATGGACAAGTACTTACGACCCGAACGCTTCGACGTGGCACCTGCGTCTAGCGATGCTGCAAGAGCATGGGAACATTGGAAGAGAACTTTCGAAAATTGACCGAAAGACCGCGCCGTTTGGAGACAAGGTTAAATTACAACTGCTGTTCAATCATGTATCGCCTAGCATATTTCTCTACATAAACGAGTGTCAATCCTACAGTACTGACATGAATTTATTATCTCAGATATACGTTAAACCGAGGAACGTTGTTTACGCACGGCATGTTTTGGCTGGAAGCTACTGTACCAACTGTTTCTTTATTTTCGAACCTATCTCCTGATTGCAATGCCTTTTGGCGTAACCAACGGTGTGTCCAGCTTTCAACGAACGATTGATTGGGTGATAAGAAAGGAAAACCTTCGTGCCACCTTAGCGTATTTAGATGATGTCACAATATGTAGCAAAACACTGGAAGAGCATAATGAAAACTTGCAGGGTTTCTTGAAGGTTGCTGAAAAGTATGGTCTTAAACTTAATAAAGAAAATTGCAAATTTACTCAGAAAACTATAAACATACTGGGATACACTGTTGAGAATTTTACAATTAAACCGAGAGATTTTTTAGATTAAGAGGTCTGTCTCTTTTATTTATGTTTGATTGTACACACACTAGCAAAACTAAAAACGAAAATATTCAGAGATGGAGTCTGGAATTAATAATAAATTAATAGTACCGTACAAATATTATATTATGTACAGACCCGGTAAAGATAATCTGGCACTCTATCTCGTGTTTGTGCATCTATCGAGACTCGTCTTTGTAAACTGGCTCCATTACACGATGATCTATGTAATGAAAGACTCGTGTCACGAGGATGCTTCACTGGGTAAAATCTAAGAACCTACCATTTTCTTTACAAGAAGTCAGAGATACAATTAAGGATTGTAAAATTTGTGCTGAAGTTAAGCCTAGATTCTTTTGCAACTATGTTCGTAACTTGCCAAAAATGATTAAAGCTACTGCGCCTTACGAGAGGCTTAGCATTGACTAAGGGACCGATACCCTCCAAGACGAACAACAAATATATACTTACAGTTATAGACGAATTCCCTCGGTTTCACTTTGCTTTTCCTTGCTGTGATCTGAGTGCAGCAACAGTAGTCAGACATTTAAATGGATTATTCATGATTTTCGGGCTACCTGCCTAAATACATTCTGACCGTCGAACTTCATTTTTATCTAAGGAAGTCAGACATGAAAGAATGTTCACTCATCGGACCGGCGCGGCGGGGGGTCCTCAAATGGCTATTCGATAGCTACCTGGTTGGACGAACACTGTACTGGTGAGAAAATTCAATCGAGCTAACAAGTAACGAACGAACCTCTTGTTGAGGAGGTTGAATTAATTGCTCCGAACCCCGATTATTCCCTCACGATTCCCGGACGGAAGAGAGAAGAATATTTATAACCGACACTTAGCGCTATTACCACAAATTGAAAGCCAGCAAGAGGAAACAAATGTGTAGGCATCCACTGATCCACCAACAAAGGATTCTGCAGACCCGAGTCGAACTTTAGATTCTGTGGATACAGTGGAGTCTGTCTTGAGTTCAGATGAAACAATAATTCGAAGATCGAACAGGACCCGCATGTTGTCCAAACACCTGGAAGATTTTATTTTAAATTAGTCTGGGGTTTTAAATTAGACTGTTGCAAACTTTTTAATTACTTGTCAGAAAGACATAATACCTAATTTCAATTATACCATAACATCTGCAATGTATCGTTTATTTTTTTATTTAACCTTATATTCACAAGGATTGTCTCATTTCAGGTTATTTACACTAGCTTTGTACAAATATTACTTGATCTTTCTTTTGGTAGCACCTCCAAATTCTTCACTGAAACGCCGCCGCCATGAATTTTATAACGGTATCTTTATAACAGGGAGTGCTCATAGTATCTCCCGCCAGGGAGTAGAGCTCATCCTCACAACCTTAATACCTGTCATTGTAAGACCACACGGGCATCGCATTATTCCTTGATCGACCCTGCTAGATGTGGTAAGGTCCCCTCCTGCAGTATTATTTCCTTTGCGCTATGACATCAGGTTTTTCAAAAAGTGAGTCAACAAGGCTCTCAAGCGCTGACAACGCATAGGTAACTCCTCTGATGTTACAAATGTCTCAAGTGGCTCGTCTGCGCGCTTGTAAACCCGCCATTTTTTAAGCAATGTCTAACCGCTGCCAATGAAATATGCGGCGTAATCACAACTACGGTGCGCCATCTACAAAGTAACATTTTGAAAACCTGGTATTATTAATCCAACAAACTTTTAATGAATATATGGGGTAAACCTATGAACCCCTTATAATTATAAATTTATAATAATAATAAATCATTTTTCAATTTACCAATCATTATTTCTTACACTTTTTATCAAAGGGAACGTCCGAAAATTCTGAAGACCATTTTGGACGACATCGGTAACACACCATTGCTGAAGCTTAACAAAATACCTCAACAGGAAAGCCTTGAATGTGACATCTGTAAGTGGTCTTGATACTTACCTATCTTCTGTTCAATTTGTACAAATGCACAAAACATTAAAAAATTTAAATGTCAATCAACACTATGGCAATTCAAGGTTTGATTCCCCGTAGGTATAATTTAAAGTTCCGTTACATCTATTATTTATCTATTATTAGATTATGGGTTACCTATCAGTAGTCCGAAATGGCGTTTTCCAAAAATAACGTTTGGTCGAATTTTCATAACATCGAAAGTAATTTTGAGAGGAAAATGTTTTTGCTTTTAAACCTAACTTAACCTAACCTTTTTTTTTTTTATTACCGTGAGGAAAATGCGTTACGCATTCCCCGCAGCTGGGAGACGGCGGGGGTATGTGGGACTCTCTCCTGGGGACTATGTCGATCCCCAAGAGCATACCCACTAAAAACCTCACGATGTTCCTGCGCGCACCTGGCGCCGGAGCCGCGGGGTCCCTTTCAGATGCTACCGCGACTCCGGTGGTGCTGGTCCGCCTTTGGGCGGACCCCTACACCATCGCCCCCTTAATCATGGGGGGCGACCTGCACGGAGATGCCCCGGAACATTTGGGGCATCTACCGGCGGCGGAGGCCTGTGCAATGCAGGGGCAGGGTCTCCCAACCCCGCACCCTGCTGGCCTCCGCTGATGGGACGCAGGCGGTCGGCGAAGAGCCGTCGCGTGCGTCCTCTCCGCCGACGCCGAATGGGGTCCGACATACATAATTTTAAATTGAATCACTTGCTACACACGAGTGTACAAATTTATTTAAATAAATATAATTTGTAGATGTAAAATGCGAGTACCTTAACCATGGAGGGTCCATAAAGGATCGCATTGCGTACCAAATGGTGGTAGATGCTGAACAGAAAGGTATTTTGATACCAGGAGAATCTGTCATTATTGAGCCTACATCTGGCAACACAGGCATTGGACTTGCACTGGTTGCACTGATTAAGGGTAAGTGGAAGTACATGACATTTTAACCGACCTTAAAAAAATTTTTTGTAAGTATACGCGATTGTGATTGATATAATACATTATTTTGATGATTCTTTTTTTGTTGGAAAGAGGGTACCTCGTTGTATCGTCGATGGTACCTCGGTAGTGGTCCCATTTAAATTTAATAAAACTTGACAAATATTGGCATCGGAACAATATCGGTTTGAAACATTTAATATGGTTAAATTACATTAGTGTGCCGCAATCTGAAGTGACGGTTTGTGTTGTGTGTATGAAACTAATATCATTCTGACGCGTCACGACACGACACGTCAGACAAATGTAAATCCGGCTTTTATGACACACATAGTAAACAATTATAAATAATTGTAAGATTCGAAGATAATAAAATATAATATTATTTCGACTGTACACAAACGGTACAAACTTTTACAGTTGTGTAGTGAAAAAAAACTTTGAAAATTTGTCTTGGTTTTTAATTTATTATATTCCTATCACGCAGGCTACAAATGCATTGTGGTGCTGCCTAAGAAGAATTCTGATGAAAAAGTAAACACGCTACTTTCGCTGGGCGCCACTGTCATTCGGACCCCCAATGTTCCTGCTAGCTCGCCTGATAGCGACATTAACGTCGCCAAAGACCTTGTGAAAAAGACAAAGGGTGGCGTTATGTTGAATCAAGTAAGTGACCCAGCAATCACAATAGACATTCAGCGTTTCTCGTTTCTCCACTATTCGGCACGAATGTTGGAACATACAATTATTGCAACTCCCTTAAAATTAGGTTAGCACCTTTATTCTAAGGTTAGCACTTAAACAGCGTGTAGTCAGTACTATAGTCGTCACCAAATAAGAGGCCAAATTTGACAGCTAAAGAAAGCGATAGTATGTAACTTTGAATGCGATCAACGAAACAATTAAACAAACAATTATAGCATAATTGAGTTTATAAAAATACATAAGTTTTATTGAAACATTATATAACATGACAAAACATATTTTAAGTACGGTTTTCGCACAAATTCCAAAATAAAATGCAATTTTAAGTTACCCCGAAACGTTTTGAAAACAGTTACGTCCTCAAGCAATTTTTTTTTAATAATAGTGTTGTAAGCAATTATTCGCCGAATTTCACCAAGGCACTTCGATATCTCGGAAAATATATTTTAAGAAATATTAGAAAAAAATTATGAACAATATTTGAGATTGTTTGTTGTTGACATTGACAACTTCTAACATAAGTTAGAAGCTTTGCTAGCCGAATAATTGAAAATTTGTGAAATCATTGGTTTCTTGGTAATTTAATCTTTTTATGTAGTTGTTTTATCGATGAACATATTTACACTAAATTCTCGTAATAAACCATTTATGAATATTATAAAATCAAAATTAAAAGGATACAATTCATCAGATTGTGGGACAATCTTACGAAAACAAGAGAAGTTGCTATAGAATTGCAAGGAATTTTGTTAATGCATTGCTTTTAACAGAATTGCATGATTTGGCCTTTTAGGTCCCCGGAACAACAATGAACCGAAAAAAAATCTAAGCAATCACAAACTCTTAAAATATTGAATCGATTTCTCGTCAAAATCGTATGTGATTACCGATATAATTAGTCCACATCCCTATTCGCGTCACGATGACAAGTGTCAAATTTGGCTTCTTATTTGGTGACGGATTTAAACCACAGATGATAATAATAAAATAACTTGTATATCTGCGATACCTAATCCTAAACCTAACTTATGAATTGTAGTTCCCATTGGTTATTCGAACTGTTATTCGATAAGTTGGTGTTCGAACTGCCTCTGTGGCCGAACGGTTACCTTGCTGGACTGCCACGTAGAAGTCCCGGGTTCGATTCCCGAGATGAGAGAAATATTTGTATGGCCTACATTTATTTCTCTCGTGAGTTTGGATTTAATTCGTGGTTGTCTATATGTGTGTCCACGGCACCGACACAGGGTTTCCCTAGTGCGGAACTATGAGCGTGTGCGTTATTGTTATTATTATTTGGTCATACCTCCCACCATTCAGAATGAGCCACTATAATCTATAAATACATATGTAAAGAATATATATGTATATAACAGTTTGTATAAGAAATGACTGTTGTCAATTCCAAATAAAAGCACTTTTAACTTTTAAGAACCTACTGAAGTTCTGTATTGCAACTACGGGTAATGCACAGAACTCACTATTAAAGTTCTTTTACGAGGTAAAACCAGTTCAATCAATAACAGAAAGTCACAACGAAGTTGTGTGGAACATTAAATCTATTACGTTTACTGCTATTTTGGTGGCAATGATTTGCGGCTGTAAACCTATTTCTTTTAATATTAAATAATACGAAAAAAGATAAGAAAAATCGAAATCTTTTTTAAAACTAACTTCTCCTTTTCTTCTATCCTTTTTTCATAAATAAAAGGCTATGTAATTAATGTTTTATGATAATACCAAAAACAGGGACAATATAAAACGACTCTGCACGGTTTTTGAATTTTCGATACATTTTGGCATTACTTATGCCTAATTTATACAAACATATTCATATCAAATATGAATTAAATATCTAGAGTCCAAAAAGAATATTTCCGTTCCTGAAATTCAATTGAAAAATTAAATACGAAAAAACTTCAATATTTATTTGTCCTATGATTTTGCTAATAATTAAATTAGATTAATTAGGGACATACTTAATGAAAGTGTGAAAAATTATGAGTACTTGTTTCTGCAAACGCCCCTGTTCATAGTAATTCTGGCGATTTTATATTATTATTGATAATTATTAATGACGACCAAACTTGAATTATATAAATATATGTATAGAGTATTTTGTGTGTAGAATAAAATACTTGTTTATTAACACCGCCGCCTAAATAATATTATCTCTTCTTACAGTTTGAGAATCCAAGCAATGTAAAGGCTCACTACTGTGGTACAGCTGAGGAAATTCTCTGGTCTCTTGATGATAACCTAGACATGGTGGTGATCGGTGCTGGCACCTGCGGGACACTCATTGGCATAGCTGAAAAATTGAAAGAGCGTTGCCCAAAATGCTTCGTAGTGGGTGTCGACCCTTACGGCTCTATACTCGCCCCACCTCTAGTAAAACTTGATTATGAGGTAAGTCGTAATTTCATTCTTTACACACTTCGCAGTAAGTAGTTTGCAGGTTCTCAATAGTCACAAGAAGACAGCTTCCGCAACTCACCTGCTTTCTTAAATGACAATTTAATTTCAATCTATGCTGATATACCAAAAATCTTTATATTACTCATATTAGTACCCTAAGCATTCCTTTACACAGATTTTTGTCTGTTTAATCGTTTGAGGTACGTAATATTCAGGCTATCCTCGTTTCCGAATTTTTTTTAACTCTTTAGTCTCTTCTATACATAGGGCGCACTATAAGTTTCCGGAACTGGCCACTTACATAAACAATATTTAAAAAGTCATGACAACATTTGAAAATGGAACTCTTTAGCTGTAGAATACAGTTTATTTCATCTGACTGTCACTTGTTTGACACCACCAGCACCAGCACCATGCAAGACGACTATTTATAGCTGGTTTGCAGAATTCAAACGCAGTCGTGTGAATCTCAGTGACGAATTTCGTGATGGTCCACTGCTGTGAACAACAAAAACATCGATGCTGTGCGCTATATGATCAAAACAGGCATGTGACATACCATGAGATTTGGGCATCTTTAGGCATAGGAATGAGTCAAATACAATCAATACTATATAAACATTTGGGTGTGAAAAAGCTGTGCTCTCGGTGGATCCCACACAATTTGACTGAGGCTCAAAAAATGGATCGCGCAACTAGGTGCAACGCCATGCTTAACAGATTCAACGAAGGGGCGTCAAATTTGGTGTGAGACATGTGACGAAACATGGATTTGTAGTTACGATCCCAAAACAAAGCAGCAATGGAGCGTGTGGGTCTTTCAAGACAAGCCGAAATCAACCAAAATGGCGCGCGTGCAAAGTACCTCTAAGCGGATGATTGCTTCTTTTTTTAATAAAACTGGACACGTGACTACTGTTGCTTTGGAGGATCATTGTTGTACCGTGAATAGTGATTACACACACACGACCATTTGTTTGCCGGAAGTTATTGACAAACTCCGTAAAAATAACCGTAAACGCCGTATCATCTTGCACCACGATAATGCTAGTTCTCACACTGCCAGACAGACAAATGAATTTTTGAAGGTGAACAACGTTGACCTTATGAGCCATCCCGCGTACAGTCCCGACCTTGTGGCTTTTATTTATTTCCAAAAATTAATTATCAGTTACGCGGTCGCGGAAGAGTATGAAAAATATGTTTCAGAGATTGTCACGGAGGAGTGACATAAATGTTTTCAAAATTGGTTCATTCGTAGGAAAAAGTGCATTAACACTAATGGAGAATATTTTGAGCAACAATAAATTCATTTCTGACCATTTTTAGTATTTTTTTCTTATTCATAACGGAAACTTATATTGCGCCCTACGTATAACTCTTTGCCTAACTTTCACCTAATTAGCTATGATTGTTTAAGTTCGTCTCAACCATTTACATAGCTTCATAACATTTATAATACTTAGGAAATCAACTCAAACGCCGTCTCCCAACTCGGCCGAGCATCTGTTTCTCGAGGTAAAGTTCTCTTATAGGAAAATTTATCTAGGTATAGGTTTACATAATTTACAGTAGACTACATGGACTTTTTCCCTTTGAAATTCTCCTAGATTAGAAGACTTTATACTTTCTATGACCACTCCATAGTAACGGGTGATTTCAACAGTTGCCCCTTGGAAAACGATGTCTCATAACCTCCAATCTATTCTGAACTTCAATAATAACATGTAATATAATAATAATAATAATTTATTATCTCCCAACACGTACAAAATATAAGTACATGATTGAACATAAAGCTTAAATATGGGAGACAGTACTGTACCTACTTAAAATATTAATTGGAACAGGTGGAAGGAATAGGGGATGACTTCTGTCCAAAATTACTAAACAATAGCGTGGTAAACCGATGGGTGAAGACCGACGACAAAGAATCCTTCCAAATGGCACGGAGGCTTATCTCGGAGGAAGGAATACTTTGCGGTAAAGTTGCACTCAAATCAATTTATATTAAGACCTTATTAGAGAAGGGTATCGTGAAATATGAAGGTAGGGCCATATAAATATAAGTTTAAATATAGTTTAAATAGTCAAAATACCTCTAAACGATTATGGAGCGAAGAGTAGCAATAACCCTAAATTAACATATCAATGTCCTTTTGATTCTTCAAAAATAAAGCTTTTGATTGATTACGGCAATATACTGCGCACTTTGTTGAGTACACTTATTCAATTTTTGTGCTAGATTTAAATAGGACTAATGACGAAATAGAGGAACAAGTAGGTATATATTTAGAGAGAATGTTAATAATTTAGAATAAACCGCTGATTGATTTGACCAGTTGTCTACTTTTTTGAAACAAAAATATTTAAGCATTTACAAAACCACAATACATTAAGGGCACTAGGTCTACCCTGTTATATTATATAGTCATATCTATCTAGATATTTATATTAAATTTACACACAGGTGGTAGTAGTGGCGCAGCAATGTCGGCAGCCATCAGAATGGCACGTATATTGAATCTTAAAAGCGGACAGAGATGCGTGGTGATAATGCCAGACAGTATACGCAACTACATGAGTAAGTTCATCTCAAATCCGTGGATGGAGGTGCGTGGTTACATGGATCTTTACAAAAGCAATGTGAGGTAAGTCATTCCAATTCTCCATTCAATGTAATGTGCTCTTGGAAACGATAAAAAAATTAATTAACAAAATTTCACTTCACTAAACTTTTATCGATATGTTTAATTCCACTTTTTATAATATCAAGTGACGGGACGAACAAGTCGTGCGCCTTATGGTATCCTACACGCCTGTCCATAACAGTTGCAGTGACACTTAGAGCTTTAAATCGTAAAGATCTCAAGGACTGCCACTGCGTCCGTCACCATGATACATAAGTTAACAAGTCTCATGTGCCTGTAATTTCACCAGCACCTTTACCCTTTAAAACCTGAACACAGTAATGCTGACATCATTGCTTGGCGGCTGAAATAAGTAAGATAGCAGTACTTCACTGGGCGAACTCTTTCACTAGGAGATCTACTGCTACTTAAATCGTACTTCATTCATAAGGAAGCATGAATTAAAAAGAAGAAGAATTAAAACTTGCATAAATTAAACGTATGTACCTGCAAGTATTCCTCCGGCAGTTGTAAACCGATTTTGATTGTTCTTTTTCTTTTGTTGGAAAGAGGGTACCTCAGTACCTATTGGTCCCATTTAAATTTGAAGAAAATATTTTACCTTAAGTATGGCAAACTAGGGATGAATCCGATTTCGTGCACTTTCCGTTAACCGATTCCAATAACATTTGGCAAATGCATAGATGTAATTCCAATAAAAAAGCCGATAAGCAAACTTCAGGTGGGTTTTTTGAATAAAAAACTTATGTTTACGAGTAAATTTTGAGATGACTACGATGCGATGGTCAGTGGCCAAGTTAGTATCTTCAACATAAATATTATTATTGTCGTCTTGTTGACTAAAAAAATTAAAAATTTGTTAAAATTAAAAAGTTGATTAAAAAAATATAACAAATAATGAAATTGTTTGTTTCATTTATTTAAGTAATCCTGTAAGACGTTCGTGTAAGATACTAGTAGGTACGACCCAAGGTGCCGTACGTGGGACTTATTAAAACAAAAAAAAAGTGAAACAATGTAGTAGGTACCTTATTAAAAACATGCCCTGAAACGCCTATGGCAACCTAATGACCCTAACCTGCGATTTTTTAATGTTTAAATTCTGAGTCTGAAACACTTTAAAACACTTTAAAATACTATTAAGGGGACCTTGGGCTTTAATGACAAGATAAGGTTTCTACATCCGCGAGACAGTGTGTCCACCAATTTATTAAAAAATCTATTTATTAAAAGACCGGACCACAGCCGCATAAAATATTTTCAGAATAGACCTAAGTTATGGCGCGATACTTTGATACGTCATGACACTTAAATAAATCTAGACTGTAATAGGTAAACAATATTTTATGTTGTAAACAATCATCAATTGATACGTTGAATTTTCCACCGTTTGTACCGCAAACGGCATAGAGTTTAATTTAGGTAAATCTCAAGTGTTAAATTCGACGCGTTGTGTGTAGTAACCGAATTTTAGCACGTTACATTACTTCACAGTTGGTGGAATGAACCGGTGTCAAAGAAGTGGATCCGACAAACTCCCAGTGTGTCTTACAACAGTACAGTGACGGAGGCGGTCAGCGTGCTTAAGCAGAACTACGCATCCCTTGTTAATGTTATCGACGATATCGGGTAAGCAATTTTATATAACACTACACCTATAATCCATAAGTATGTATTTGTGTACTTTGCTAATAGAACCGGGAATTAGTAACTTTAAAGTAATTGGCTACCCCGTTCATGTACAATCTTGTAAGTAATCTACTTAAACAACAATTGCAGGGCGCTAATTGGAATATTCACGGCTGACAATACGCGGCGCTGCCTAGCTGACAATTCGCTGAACTACGATGATGGCCTTGACAAATTCACTGTGAAGAAGTACTACACAGTGGACCTCGCAAAGAAACCATTCGCAACACTTGGTTTGGTGTCGCGAATGCTTGATATAGCACCATTCGTCATGGTTGTCAATACAGGTAGGTACATGGTCAACAACACTTCAAGCTTGACACTTGAGACTTAAATCTGACTCTACGCTAAAAACGGTCCAAAGTACAAAGTGTCAAGCTTGACGTGCTCTTGACTGTACCAACGTTACATGGTGAGTTCAAAGAGACTATGTTATAATGACAACAAAAAGCTTGCACGTACATTGGTAGTAAAATGAGCCGGCTTAAAATGTGTGTAATATACATACAATACATCATTACCACGTAACTAATGGATATGACAAAAATGGTGACAGGAAAGTGACGATATTCCTTTCGAGAAAGAAGACGTTGTGGATTATAAGTATTTTGACAAACCTAGATTAAATAAGAATAAAAATAATATTAAGACGATAAGAAAAAGCTTTGACTCGACCTGACTTGTAATATGACCCGTAACTTTATTGATAAAAGAAAAAAAATAATACGAAAGATAGGATTAATTATACCGCGACATAGCGATAAATATCATGGCGATAGGAAAATAAAACATCGGTACACATAGTTTAATAGGAAGTATTGGTCGCTAAATTAGTCTCATACGTAATTTTTTGGCTGTACGCAAGTGGACCAAAAAACGTTATTTATACATATTTAAACGTCTTAACTTTAACGGCTGGTACGCCGTGTACGCCTCTGTAGGTATCTAAATTCGCACCACTAGGTACATGTAATATTAATACCTATTACGGTACATATAAAACTTTTATCTTCTTTTCAGACCCATCCCCGTGTGTTACAACTATTCCTCGTCCTGTTGGTGCCATCTTCTCCGACAACTTTCCACTTTAAGTACATACACGTCGAAAAAAGAAAACTGAACATTTAATTATCTGTGTTTAATATACTATACCTACTTAGTCGTGCCTTTTTTCAACTTACATTGTCAAGTCCTGGCTTGAGTATTGCAGTGAGCACTGAAAATCATACTCAAGCCCTTGCCATTAGGGTCGTATTTCCAGTGCTTGAAATCATACTCAACTCTGCTCTAGTCCTGACTAGAGCATTGAGTAGAGTTCTGGAATACGACCCTTAATCACGAAGGTATAGTAAATTTATTCAGAGATAAATATATACAATCAAAACAGCTATGAAAAATACTCTTCAAATTGATAAAACCACTGCAACGTCTAGCCACTACAGTCGAACTAGCAAATAAATCTTGAAATTTATACACATTAGTTCTTACTGCTTTAGGAGATTCAATTTCTAATTTAGGAGAAGAAAAATTGTGTGTGCGTGCGTATGTGAGAAAAATTGTTGTGAGCGTCTTTTGGGCAAATGGTCACTAGGTCAATAGTTATTATCATGCGATACGATTATTTATTTATTACATATATTATATATTATTACATATAGCAATTGTTTCGATAATAATGTCACCAATACAATATTTTGTTCTTTTCGTGAGCTGTAGATATTGTTTTATTGTGAAAATTATTAATAAACCATTACCTCACAACCTTAATGAATGGGATCATAAAAACACTTAAAAATCACGAATATTCCATTGATGTAATATGTATTTATTACCTCAATGGAATATTCCACAAATGCCTACTGGTGTGGATTGTTAGTTAGTAAGTATTTAATGAAATCAGTCAGTCGAGTTAAAAAAAAATTGCTTTCTAACCGACTTCAGAAAAGGAGGAAGTTCTCAATTCGACTGTTTTTTTATATGTTACGCGAAAGAGGATACCTCAGTATTGGTCCCATTTCAATTTAAAATAAATATTCCACCTCTAAGGGTGGCAAACTGCAGGTACCTAATGAAAACAAAAAAATAGACGTTACGACTACGTCAACGTCGAGTTGCAAAAACCAGCCCGTTACACCCACGTTACACCATACCATGAGGTATAATCAAACAATTCTCCCTCGGAACGAAAAAGGATAGGTACGTCAAGAGCATGTCAAGCTTGACACTTTATACTTTGGACCTTTCTATAGAGTTGGATTTAAATCTTAAGCGTCAAGCTTGACGTGCTCTTGACCCTCTACAACTAGCGTTGGGTAAATTTTCAAATAAGTATAGTGGAAATTTTTCTAGAAAAAATATCTGAAATATTGGAAATATATAATTTGAAGACTCATATTACGTTCTACGTTTAGTTTATCTTTTAAATAATGTTTTATTTAGCATGAATTATAAAATAAAATTGTATAAGCATTACTAAATGTAATTTTTCTAAACCTTGCTATAGTGATGGAAACCTCCTTCCGCTCGCTCTAAATCGATTGATTGATTCAATTAAATTATTTTATTAAATTCAATTACTTGATTCTAAATAGAATAATTTTTATTCAAGTGTTTGTTGATTACCAGTTGTCATAATATTAATATATTACAAAAATACTATAATAAGATAGTTAAATCCTTTATTTTACTTGTTTTTAGAAAATGTTTATTACTTAAAAAAATTAAGACTTTCATTTTTAATCGACTTCAAATATTACAATTATTGTCCTCCCAATAAAATGAGCTTATTATATAACATCTTTTTGTAATAGAAGATCTTATCGATTAATTTAAATAATGAAAACGCACGTCAAATATATGAACTTACGACTGCCTTAATTAATTTTACTGGTAGGTTTTCTGTTGGTAATTGATTAAATTGATGAATGGCAAGACAAATGAAAATGTTACTGCTGACAAAATATGGTGAAATCTTATTAATTAGAATAGGTTTACGTAATGACGGCCTCGTGTGAAATTTTTGGGATTTGTTTATTATTTCTCGGATTTCTAACTCTGCTACTCTGCATATTTATGGATAGCATCTTAGGTGGGATAAACTAGACCACCTTCGTCCTCGAAAGCAACGAACTCATACTTACGACCAACTACAGGTTTTTGTAAAGCCAGCGCACTGTGAATTTTTTTTTAATTTTTCGTACCACATATCTGTCCATGTATGTACAATTACATACGTCGTCCTACATATCCGGCGATGTATGTATAATAATTACATATATTGCTCACTATATTCGGACATTCGAGGCAACGTGCTGCAAAAATTATCGAAATTACAGATACTACTGATAATAGATACTACAAAAGTGAAAAAAAACGAAAAGTTACTAAACGACATAACAAAAGAGTTACAGAATATTTTTTATAATATTGCTAAGGTCATAAAAATGTTCGTCCGTTTATTTTCAAAATCGATCAGAATCGAGAACAGTGTTGCCTAACATAATTATACATCACTAAATGTTAAATTTGGCCAAGGAAATGTATGTACAAGCGACCGTACCTTGAAACTGAATGCATTATACAAAAGTGCGTTCGTTCGATATTCACGGCGTATTAACAAAGGATCACAAAAGTATCGCACCAAGTAAAAGGCGCAATGTATTACAAACATGAGGCATACAAAACATACAAAACCAAAATAATTGTTTTTAAAATAAATTATGCATCTTCTGGTTACAAAATCACTTGCTCGTGCGAGGAAATGTTCCTGTTTACCCGTTTACACGTGGTTATGGTGTTTTTGCAGTTTCTAATGACACAATTATGCATTTTTCGCGTTTTCAATTTAGAGCGTGCGGAAGGAGGTTTCCATCACTATAGCAGGGTTTAGAAAAATTACATTTAGTAATGCTTATACAATTTTATTTTATAATTCATGCTAAATAGAACATTATTTAAAAGATAAACTAAACGTAGAACGTTATATGAGTCTTCAAATTATATATTTCCAATATTTCAGATATTTTTTCTCGAAAAATTTCCACTATACTTATTTGAAAATTTACCCAACGCTAGTTGTAGAGGGTCAAGAGCACATCAAGCTTGACACTTAAGACTTAAATCCAACACTATGGCGCTTACGATAAGAACGGTCCACAGTACAAAGTGTCAAACTTGATGTGCTCTTAACTGTACACTTGCGGCGTTCATCTAGATATGCTGTGTGTATTACTCTATTCTTTGGGCACAACGGACACAACTTGGACACAACACCATTATTTCGACCTATTATCATTCACTCACTTCATACCTATTTGCTCGTTCTTTCATTCTGACATTCGACAATTTGACATTTCGTAATTCACACGCGGTGAGTTCGGTTGTGTGTTGTGTTGCTTTAAATCACAGTTAAAATTCTAATTTTACACACAGTAATAATAGTCTGACTGCGGATTTCTGACATACTTAGTTTACAGTCGTCAATAATCATCTCTTATGATACCGTGATCTAAGCATAGTAAGTGTTATTCAACAGTATTTTACGGATAAAATAGCAAGTTTATCGTTAACGAATATCTACTTACTGTAACTCCTAAAAACTTTATTACAAAATTAGCAAAATGGCTAACCACGTGGAGAATGGTACGACGAACGGTAGTAAGAAGCATTTTGACCTTAAGAACATGCCGCACATCGTGAGGCCTTTGTAAGTACACTTTTTCTTTCATCATCCCTCCACTATAATCTTTTTCACATTAATGACTATTGCCAAAACGGTATAAAGATAGTATACTTCGTAATTGTAATCAAAAACACGGAAGTTAATGGCATATGTTTTTTTACATGTTATTTACAAAACAACATATTCAGTCACTTGTTTTTCGATGTGTAGATTGGTTTTTAATTTTAGAATTACAAATTGAACGTTGTTCATAATCAGTGACAGAGTTAATATGCGTTCAGTATCACTTATTGAAATTTATTGTATTTAAATACTTTAGCCATTTAAAAAATATGAGTCTACATATATTTTAGAATGTTTCGAACATAAACAGCAACAAAAGAAATTTTATATGCATTGGTGATGAAATGGGTTTGTCAATAGTATGAAAACATTCATATTTTAGGTAAAATAACTCCCTCAAATCCAATCACTGTTCATAACAAACAATTAAAATGCACAATTTCAAGTGTTTCAATATAAATATAATAATAATAATCAACTTATTTTTTTTATCTAAAAGGGACCGCCGCCCGAAAATCCTGACCGACATGCTGAATGGTATAGGCAACACTCCCCTAGTAAGACTCAACAAAATACATCGAGAAGAAGGCATTGAATGTGATATGTGTAAGTTGCCTGCAAACATTTATTTAAGCAAAAATTTTTAGTTTTTTTACTTTTATTATTTGTGAAAATAAATTTTCTCTGTTAACATATATAAAAAGAGATACAAAGAAACTTATCACTATTTATTATTATTATAACTTGTTATTATTATATTATACTTATTACTTAAAAAAGTGTATTTTAAATTCAGCTAAAATTTATCATTTGTAGATGTAAAATGCGAATTCCTCAATCCTGGAGGTTCAGTGAAGGATCGCATTGCATATAGAATGGTGACAGATGCTGAACAGAAGGGCATTTTAGTACCTGGAAAGTCTGTAATTATTGAGCCCACTTCTGGCAATACTGGCATTGGACTGGCACTTGCTGCAGCTATTAAAGGTAACTTTTAGTATTATTTTATATTATACTAAACTAATTTTTTTGTTGGTTAAACTAAACTATGTGCGTAAACTACAATAAAATTAGTCTGGCACATTGGAATTTTTTATTTTATGTTATATGCACAGGGACAGTGCACCTCAGATCTTTGAGTGCTGAATGCAAATGCTATGGGTAGGTGTATCGCTTACCACTAGACCTACAACTTATACTCGCATCCTGTCACTTGAAATGACGAAAAATAATAGTTTGATAAAACTCAAGATAAAGAATCAAATATCTATATATAATCTAATAAATGAAAGATGTATTCAATATTACATTTGTGAAAATGAAGAACTCAAAAATAAATGAGTGTCGATTGTAGCAAATAAAATGCCACAATCTACCTATCTGTGTATAAAATTTACAGTTAGTAAGTTACAAGATTATAATTTCACAAAATTAAAATTTTATTCGAGTATTTGAACAAGCTAACTACATTTACACTTCCTTTTTTAAGGTTTCACACTTCCTTTTTTAAGGTTTCACACCTAAATAGTAAGAAGAGAAATTGTTATGATAAAAATATCCACTCTTGCTCGTAAGTAGTGGTATAACGTGCAATATAACTACGCGGATTTTTGTCGTGCATCGACCCTAAAAAGCTGTGGATTTTGTTATGTTATTTCAAAAATAGCCGGCCTTATTTCTTTTATAATTTTTTAACAGAAGCATACTTTCAATTTCGCTGCATTTTCGCGAAAACCGGTAAACGTAAATAAACTTTGGCAATACATTGCTCCCTTGCTGATCACAATCTGGCCATAGTCATTTTCCTTAAAAAGTTATAAATAACAAAGTTTTATTTAAAAAATACGAGTATAAAAAATTTGAAAACCCATTTGAATAGTTGTGATTATTTTGCTTTCATTTAAAAATGTACTTTTATTTTTTATTAAATAATTGATTCTGGAATACTAGAAAAGGGATTAAGGGAGCCACATATTTTTCCTCTACGCAGGCTACAGGTGCATAATAGTGCTGCCAGAGAAGATGTCAGACGAAAAAGTTAACACGCTCTTAGCACTAGGCGCCGAAGTCATCAAAACCCCCACTGAGGCTCCTTCCAGCTCGCCCGAGAGCAACCTCGGTGTTGCCGCGCGTCTTTCAAAGGAGATCCCTGGTGGTGTACTTTTGGATCAAGTAAGTCATAGATAGTAAAACCTCAGTGCCACCATCGAAAATGTGTCTGTGCAAAAAAAATTGTAAAACAGAACTTCTGAACTAATGTCTACGTACTCTTTACGAACCTAGGCTGAATGTCCAAAAATCTATGAAAAAAATATGGAATGATAAAATCCTATTTTTCGGTGAGTTATTTCTTCAATTCATTATATTCCCTTCTTTGATTTGATGTTAAATGTAAATTCATTGATCATTATCAGCACTCAATCACTTTATAGCACAATAAAAAATTTCGTTATAGTTAATAAATCATATATTACAATTAAATGACTGCCAACTATTTTATCGTTTAGCACAATGTTCAAGAACTTCGCGCAATAAATAGTCCAGTAATTGAAAAAACCGATGCAGTATAGGTACTAAAACAAATAAAATTAAGTCGGAGAATTTTAGAGGGCTTAGAGGGAGAGGGATTGCACTTTGCTTTAGCTGCTATATTGAATTTAACGTTTTTTGTGATATACCGATTAATATTATGCATAATTACTGTATTTGGAATGATAGTGACATTAGACAACTTTTTTTTTTCGGTGTAATACTGTACACTATCTGTCCATTATCTCTTGATATATTTGAGACCTCTGTAGGGTCTGATCTAATCAGGCAGTGTGCAAAGCACTCATAGTTTATTTTAACTGCCTGTGTGGCTGAACGGTTACCATGCCGGACTGTCACGTAGAGGTCCCAGGTTCGATTACCGGGCCGGGAGTTTGGGTGTAATTTGTGGTTGTCTATGTGTGTGTCCATGGCACCCGCGACACTGGGTTTCCCTAGTGCGGGGTATGTTGTGTGTGTGCATTATTATTATACTGCTAGGTAAGATTAAGACAGCGGATGGCGAAGGTATGATCGTAGTGAGGAATGCACGCTCTGTATAGTCCTAATGCACTAGGATAAACTATTCATAAACGATGTTGAGAGAACGCTTATTCTGATATCATCACCCCAAACAAACAAACAAACTGAGTTACAGATAATTTTTACCACACTCCTTGTAGACTTCATTTGTTCGAGAATAGCCTTCTTCGTGCTCAAATTAAAATTTAAAACGATAAAAATTGTATACATACCTATCGGCAAACATATCAATATTAATGAAATAACTGGTGAAGCTAAGTAGAAAATTGTTAAAATTCACCATACCAAGAATTTATGTCTATGCAAAAAACCAATTAAGGGAAATTTTTCAATAAATGAATATTTAATTAAGGCGATATTGCATTAAGAAACGTGCAATCTCCAGTTCAGCAGCTAATGTTGATGTGTCGATGGGTTAAAAAATGGTTAAAAAATGAAAATTACGTTAAATGACTTGTTCAAGGCCTCTCGACATCTGTTTTTTTTT